CTCTTAACTGGGGGTGATTTTGCAATGTCTGGGGACATTTTTAGTTGTCATGATGTGAGGAGAGGTGCCACTGGCATTTAATGACTAGAGGCCAGGGATGCTGCTGAACATCCTACAAATCACAAGATAGTCCCCACAACAAGAGTTATCCCATACAAAATGTCAACAATGCTGAGGGTGAGAAACCCCGTCTCATACCCACCTTAAGAGGGAAAACTGAAGTGGGAAAAGACAGCAGGATGTAGAAAAGTAAGTAGGGGGTTATCTACGTGAAACGGACAACTGTCACATTATATATGCTCAGTTAATGTCAATTAAACAGAACTGAGGAATGTTAGAGCTGACTGTGGACAGGCTTGGGGAGTGGAGAAGGAACATGACAAGAAGGAGAGAAAGTACAGGGCAAGAAGAAGAAAGGGGAAAGGGATGAGAAAAGTATGGAAAAGCTGGGCACAGTGGCTCACACCTATAATCCCAGCACTTTGGGAGGCCGTGGTGAGAAGATCACTTGAGCCTAGGAGCTAAAGACCAGCCTGGGCAACATAGGAAGATTCTAGCTCTACAAAAAAAAAAAAAAAAAAAAAAAAAAAAAAAGTTTTTTAATTAGTCAAGTGTGTACCTCAAAAAAAAAAAAAAAAAAATAGTGTGCACCTGTGGTCCCAGTTACTTGGGAGACTGGGGTGGGAGGATCGCCTGAGCCTGGAAAGTCGAGGCTGCAGTGAGCCATGATTGTGCCACTGCACTCCAGCCTTGGTAACACAGTGAAACCCCAAAACCCTGTCTCAAAAAAAGAAAAAGAGAAGAGAAGAGAAAGAAGAGAAGAGAAGAGAAAGAAGAGAAGAGAAGAGGAAGAAGAAGAAGAGGAGGAAGAGGAAGAGGAAGAAGAAGAAGAGGAAGGAAGGAAAGAAGGAAGGAAGGAAGGAAGGAAAAAATAAAAGATTTATGAAAAGGAAGTGTGGCAGGTCACTCTTTTAAAACATGATTACAAGATCTCCCATCCCTCTTGCTCTTACCATGTGACACTGACATTCCTCACATTGCAAGGTGGAGTTTATATTTCCTCCCCTTGAATCTAGATGGGCATGGGACTCCAGCAGAAGTAATGCTATGTCGTAAAAGGTGATATAGCTTCCACCTGGTCTTTTTGGGCTGTTCACTGCTGGAACCTAGTCTACATAAGGAAGTGGAGAGATCACATGAAGAGGCCACATGTAGATGTTCTGCCTGACAACCCCAACTGAGGTCCCAACTGACATCCAGCGTCAATGGCCAGTCGTGGGAATGAAGGTTCCCCTGGATGACATCAGCCTGACCCTGAATCATCCCCAGTCCTCTGTGTCTTCCAGCTGAGGCTCCAGACATTGTGGAGGAGATCCAAGCTCTGTTGTACCCCACCTGAATTCCTGACCCACAGAGTTGGTGAGCGTAATACGATAGTTGGGTTAAGACACTTAGTTTTGACGTGGTTTGTTATGCAGCAGTAAGGAACTAGAACAGAAAGGGTGCAGGGACATGCTAGGGGCTCTTTGACAGTCATTGGTTGTGTACTTTATATATTAAGGTAATGCTAGCTGCAGTAACATACAAATCCCAATTTTCAGTGGTTTAACACAACAGAAGGTTATTTCTTACTCACGTATTTGTTCAGTGTCCCTAGACAGTGGACAGCCTTCCATTAAGTCATTCAAGTACTCAGACTACTTTCTTCCTGTAGCTTCTCTGTTCTCTAGGGCTTGGAGTCCTCTGCATCGAGAAGGCAAAACAGGGGAAGAGAGAATGGAGAAGGTACACTTGCTTCTTCATTGTCTTGTCCCCAAAGTGACATACACTCCTTTGGCTCACATTTTACTGGAGAGAACTGGTCCATGACCCCACCTAGATCTGAGGGAGGCTGGGAAATTCAGGCCCTGGTTGATTAGTCCTTCCCAGAAACAACCCTAAATTGTGGGAAGAGGAGCATGAATTCTGCCAGACTTTAGAACTCAAGTTAACAAATTAAAATGATGATAATAACATTATCTCTCCTATTTCCTTTGTTTTTATCTCTCTGGAATAGAAGTAAAAGGATGGAATTTTTACTCACTCCATGGCTTTTGTGTAAGACCAGCTTTTAATTCAGTGGTAAACTAGAGGCTACTGTAGCATAGTAGTTACGCCCATGGACTCTGGAGCCCCGCTGTTCAAATCCTAGCTTGGCTATTTGCTACATGAGACCTTGGGCAAGCTTCTTGACCATTCCAAGCCTCAGTTTCCCCATTTGTAAGATGAAGGTGATGCTAAGTATAGCACCTAACTTATAGGATTGTTTTGTGGGTCAATTCTTGTAAGATACAGAGTAAGTACCAATAATGGTCAACTACCATTGTGGAAGAAGGGAGCGTTGGTTTCTGCAGATACAAACACTATCTCGCCGTGCCTTTTCTACACTCTCTCATCCAAGACACATAAAAATAAAAGCTTCCTCCTCTTTAAATTGTTGATGTTATAAAGTAGAAATCTCTTCAATCAATATTATACTTTTTAAAAACAACCCATGTCCCAGCAAGATGGGTTTTTAAAATGTCTAAAACACATAGTTCCTGCTGTGAGCAAGGGTCGGTCCACTTTGGGGGCATAGCTCTGCCAGCTGAGGTGTGGTTTCCCTGTGTGTTTCAATAAAGGCGAGATGGAATTTTTCATTATGTTTTCAAAAGATTGAGTGGAGAAGAAAAGGGTCTTGATGTAGCATCTCAAGGAAAGTCCTGTGTTTCTCCGAGTACTTTCTATCTTGAGACCACAGGCCAACTTTTCAAGAGATTGCTGCATGTAGCCATCTTGGGGGTGGGGTGGGCAGTGAGTGCTCAGATTGGTACCATAGACTTGGAGGAATTCAGGGTGACTGGGGGAGATGAAATCCCAGATGGGATGATGCAGCCTGAGTGTGTGGTAGGGAGAAGTAGGGAGGTGGGACTTAGGGCACCACATTCTTATTCATTCTACCTTTTCTCTCACTCGTTTATTCTACCACCTTCTCGTCTCCACCCATCCCCAAAATGTAAGACTCCACACTGCAGGAATCAGGGAAAGATGTCTTTCATCTTGGAAAAGGAAATGTTTTAGAAAACCAGAAGACGACGAGAAGGGGAAAAGTAAGCACTTGCTTTGGTCGGCTTGTGTGTTCAGTGCTATTTTATGTAAACATAGGGTTTCAAGTATAGAGCTGTAAGATATTTCTGATAACTTCGATCAAGTTTATTATATTTCAGAAGCACTTGTAACAGGTAATCAAATTTACCATATTCTGGAGGTGTCTTTTTTTTTTTTTTTGAGATGGAGTCTCGCTCTGTCGCCCAGGCTGGAGTGCAGTGGCCAGATCTCGGCTTACTGCAAGCTCCGCCTCCCAGGTTCAAGCAGTTCTCCTGCCTCAGCCTCCCGAGTAGCTGGAATTACAGGCGCCCACCACCACACCCGGCTAATTTTTGTATTTTTAGTAGAGACAGTGTTTCACCGTGTTAGCCAGGATGGTCTTGATCTCCTGACCTCGTAATCCACCCGCTTCGACCTCCCAAAGTGCTAGGATTACAGGCGTGAGCCACTGCGCCCAGCCTGGAGGTGTCTTTAATCAGTAATTAAGGTAGATATTTTGGAGGTACTTAAAATTAGTAACCACCTTTTCGGTGGGGGCCCTGACTGTTTAAGCATCTACGTCCTTTAACTTGCCAAGGATCAGTATCCAGATAGAATATTTATTACCAGCCAGGCTGGTGGCTCATGCCTGTAATCCCAGCACTTTGAGAGGCAGAGGTGAGCAGGTCACCTGAGGTCAGGAGTTCAAAACCAGCCTGGCCAACATGGCGAAATCCCGTCTCTACTAAAAATACAAAATTAGCCGGGCGCAGTGGTGGGTGCCTGTAATCCCAGCTACTCTGGAGGCTGAGGCAGGAGAATTGCTTGAATTCGGGAGGCAGAGGTTGCAGTGAGCCAAGATCACGCCACTGCACTCCAGCCTGGGTGACAGAGAGAAACTCCATCTTGGAAAGAAAAAAAAAATTCATTACCCAGCTGATTTTATTCAGGAAGAGGGGAGGAAGGAAAGAAGGGAGGGGAGCTAAAGGGGGCAGCAGCAGCAGAAGGCAGTGAGAATCAGGCATCAATAATGACCACTTTGTTTTCCTCTGAGTTGGCTTCAGGCTGTTTATTTTGCAAGTAACATGTGTATCAGACACCTAATATAAAATTTAGATTTTGGATGACTTACAGTTGCATCATATCACTTTGAGTTGGCTATTTTTGGACTACAAAAGATTACAAAGATCCCTAACTCCATTCACCTTTGTCAAGGGTTGAGGAAGGGGAGCAGAGAGTCAGGTGTTTCTCACATGGAGAACCTGGACTTCTACAATTAAAGGTTATTATGCAATTCTCATCACATTTTTTGACTCACAAGTTTATTGTATCATCAGTTGTGGTATATATTATTCAGGACTTGTTTAAATGTGCTTATTTCAGCTAGTAGAAGCCTTGCCTCTCCTGTTTCAGTGACAGTGTTTAGAGCTCTGTTTTTCAAACTTAGGTTAACGCCGAGTAATGAGTCTTAGCACTATTTATTTATTGACAAGGTCTCACTCTCTCACCAAGGCTGGAGTGCAATGGCAGGATCATAGGTCACTGTAACCTCAAACCTCTGGGCTCAAGCAATGATCCTCTCGCCTCAGCAGCATCTCAGGTAGCTAGGACTACAGATGCGTGCCACCGTGCTGGGCTAATTTTGGCTTTTGTATAGATGAGGTCTCACTATGTTGCCCAGGCTGGTCTCAAACTCCTGGCCTCAAGCGATCCTCCCACATGAGCCATCACACTGGTCTCTTAGCACCATTAAGACACAATAACAACAAAACCGAAAAGGAATACAATAGAATAAGAGGCCATCACACACAGCATTGTTTGTGAAACACTGATCGTCTGTGTGTGTGTGTGTGTGTGTACTGAGTCTCAATGTAAAATGTGTTTTTTCACTATAGGTCGTGGTCACAAAGAAGTTGGGAGGTTTCCAGTACCAGACAAAATGGAGTAAGGCACTGCAGTCTCTGCCACTGATCACAACTAAAAATTCTGGACAAAATGCAACTAAGGACTCTGAAAAGTAAACAAGCAGCCAAATTACAGAAAGGAATCAAAGCTTGAGGAAACTATCTGTATGGGGTGAGTTTCCCTCAATTTTCTTCTTTTCTATCACAGCTTTGAGATGAGAATAGGTCCAGCTGGGGAGCTGCATGGTAGCAGAGACAGCAGAAACTCTGAGAGAAACCCCATCTCTCTGACCAGAAGACTTAGGAGAAGGGTCCCTGTGAGCCAGAGAGTGTAGAGTGAAATCCCCATTAAAACTATTTCATTTTCTCTCTCCTAGATCTGTCCCCAAGATGATGAGACAGAATTTGCAGTTTGAACCTCATTAGATTGATTGCCTATGAAAACAAACAAAACAAAAACAAAGTCAACACCTTCTTTTTTTTTTTTTAGATGGAGTCTTCACTCTGTCCCCCAGGCTGGAGTGCAGTGGCACAATCTCGGCTCACTGAAACCTCTTCCTCCAGGGTCCACGCCATTCTCCTGCCTCAGCCTTCCGAGTAGCTGGGACTACAGGTGCCCACCACCACACCCAGTTAATTTTTTGTATTTTTAGTAGAGACGGGGTTTCACTGTGTTGGCCAGGATGATCTCGATCTCCTGACCTCATGATCCGCCTGCCTCGGCCTCCCAAAGTGCTGGGATTACAGGTGTGAGCCACCACGCCTGGCCCTACACTTTCTAAAGCTGAGGTGAGCAAACTTTTTCCACAAAAGGCCAGATAATAAATATGTTAAGCTTTGTGCCATACAGTCTTCCATCACAACTACTCAACCCTGCTATTGTAGTGCCAAAGCAGCACAGTATGTAAATCAAGCAGCCAGGCTGTGTTCCAGTACAACTTTACGTATAAAAACAGGGGGAAGGCTGGATTTGGCCTGCAGGTCATAGTTTGCTGACTCTTGCTGTAGAAGAATTTTAACAAGATTCAGAGTCTCACAACATATTAATACTATTCAAAATATCCAGGATGCAATCCAAAATTGCTCCACAAAGCTCTAGAAAATGTTACCAATTTTTATGGGAAAAGATGATCAAAAGATGCCAGCACCAGAGAGGATGTGGAGAAATAGGAATGCTTTTTATACTGTTGGTGGGACTGTAAAGTAGTTCAACCATTGTGGAAGACAGTGTGGCGATTCCTCAAGGATCTAGAACTAGAAATACCATTTGACCCAGCCATCCCATTACTGGGTATATATCCAAAGGATTATAAATCATGCTACTATAAAAACACATGCACACATATGTTTACTGTGGCACTATTCACGATAGCAAAGACTTGGAACCAACCCAAATGTCCATCAATGATAGACTGGATTAAGAAAATGTGGCACATATACACCATGGAATACTATGCAGCCATAAAAAAGGATGAGTTCATGTCCTTTGCAGGGACATGGAAGGGACATGGATGCAGCTAGAAACCATCATTCTGAGCAAACTATCACAAGGACAGAAAACCAAACACCACATGTTCTCACTCATAGGTGGGAACTGAACAATGAGAATGAGAACACTTGGACACAGGGTGGGGAACATCATACCTCAGGGCCTGTCGCTGGGTGGGGAGTGGGAGAGGGATAGCATTACGAGAAATACCTAATGTAAATGATGAGTTAATGGGTGCAGCAAACCAACATGACACATGTATACCTATGTAACAAACCTGCACGTTGTGCACATGTACCCTAGAACTTAAAGTATAATAATAAAAAAAGCCAAAAAAAAAAAAAAGATGCCAGCACCAATATGACCAAGAGGTTAGAATTATCAGATAAAGACTTAAAACATCTATTATAAGTATGCTGGATGAAATAATGGTAAACACACTTGTAATAAAGGGAAAGATAGAAGCTCTTTGCAGAAAAATAGAAACTACAAAAAGAACCAAATGGGAATTTTAGAACCAAAAAACACAGTATCTGAAATAAAAATTAACTAGGTGGGCTTAATAGCAGAATGGAGACCACAGAAGAGGAAGTTAATGAACTTGAAGATAAATGAAGAACAGAAAGAAAAAAAGACTGGAAAAATAATGAACAGTCTCAGGGTCTAATGTTCATATCACTGGAGTCCCAGGGGAGGAATAAAAGATTGGTGCAGAAAAGGAACTACTTGAAGAAATATGCTCAAATTTGATGAAAGGTATAAAATTACAGATTCAAGAAAATTAGTGAACCCCAAACAGGATGAATGCAAAAAATGAACAAACACCAGAAAACAAACACAAACAACTTATACTCAGACACATAATCAAACTCCAGAAACTTAAAAAAAATAAAAAATCTCAAAAGCAGTCTGAGAAACAATACAGAAGTTCCTGAGAAAATTAAAAAATAGAATTATCAGCAATTCCACTTCTGAGTATATACCCAAATAATTGGAAGCTGGGTCTTGAAAAGATGTTTGCACACCCATGTTCATAGCAGCATTATTCACAAGTCAAAAGATGGAAGCAACACAAGTGCTTGTCAACAGATGAACAGATAAACAAAATGTGGTATATACACACAATCAAAATTTAACCTTAGAAAAGGAGGGAAATTCTGATGCATGCTAAAACGTGGATGAACCTTGAGGGCATTGCGCTTAGTGAAAGAAGCCAGTCACAAAAAGACAAATACTATATGCTTTCACTTCTATGAGGTACCTAGAAAATTCAAATTCAAAAAGACAGAAAATAGAATGGTAGTTGCCAGGGGCTGGGGGCAGAAGAGAATGGGAGCTGTTGTTTAATGAGTATAGAGTGTCAATTTTGCAAGGTGAGAATTTTGGAGATTGACGGCACACAATGTGAATGTGCCTAACACTACTGTACACTTATAAATGATTAAGATGGCAAGTTTTCTGATATGTACATTTTACCAGTTATTTGTTTTAAAAAAAAGTCAGAGGAAAATAATGAATTAAACACAGAAAATTATTCAATGACTGTGGATTTCTTTTTTTTTTTTTTTGAGATGGAGTCTCGCTCTGTCACCCAGGCTAGAGTGCAGTGGTGCAATCTCAGCTCACTGCAACCTCTACTTCTTGGGTTCAAGCGATTCTGCTGCCTCAGTCTCCTGAGTAGCTGGGATTACAGGCATGGGCCACCATGCCCGGCTAATTTTTGGTAGAGACAGGTTTCACCATATTGGCTAAGCTGGTCTCGAACTCCTGACCTTGTGATCCCCCCACCTCGGCCTCCGAAAGTGCTGCGATTACAGGCATGACTGCAGATTTCTTATTAGAAGCCATGGAAAAAAAGATGATGGAACAACGTGGGTAAAGTGCCAGAAAGTTAAAAAAAAAAAAAAAAAAAAATCCATATCAAGAGAAAATAGATTCAGGATGAAGGCAAAATAAAGGCATTCTCAGATGAAAGACAACTAAGAGAACTGTTGGCAGATCTGTTCTAAATGCTAAAGAAAGTTATTTAGGCTGAAGGCAAACAACTATACCAGAAAGAAACCTGGAACTTAAGGACTGAAGGAAAAACATGACAGGTAAAGTGTCCTCTTCAGTTCCTTCAAATATGTATGACTGTTGAGAACAAAATGATAATAGTATCTGGTAAGGTTTTCAATGGATGTATATGTAATTCATGTAACAATTATAAAGGAAGGAGAGATTAAGGACCTAAATTGTTGTAATACTTCTGAATTTTAATTGAAGAGATAAAATATAAACTGTAAACAGACTGTGAACAACTTTAGGTATGTATACTGTAATCTTCAGAGCAATCTCTTAAAAATATATATATAGTCAAAAGCCAACAAATATGTTATTCAAATAATTCAAAAGGTGACAGGAAAGGGTGGGGGGAAGAAAGGGAACATACAGAAAAAGAAATAAAATGGTAGACTAAATCCAACCATATTAATAATATTAATTGCAAATGGTTTAAATACACCAATTAAAAACAAGAGCTTGTCAGACTGGACTGGAGAACAAGACCCAACTACATTGTCTTTAAGAAATCCACATTGAGGCTGGGCACAGTGGCTCATGCCTGTAATCCTAGCACTTTAAGAGGCTGAGGCGGGTGGATCACCTGAGGTCAGGAGTTGGAGACCAACCTGGTTAACATGGTGAAACCCCGTCTCTATTAAAAATACAAAAATTAGCAGAGTGGTGGCGGGCGCCTGTAGTCCTAACTACTCAGGAGGCTGAGGCAGGAGAATCCCTTGAACCCAGGGGGCAGAGGTTACAGCGAGCTGAGATTGACCCACTGCACTCCAGCCTGGGCAGCAAAGCAAGACTCCATCTCAAAAAAATAAAAAATAAAATAAGAAATCCACACTGGACATAAACACACAGATAGGTTAAAAGTAAAGGAAGGAAATTAAGTTTGGAGACCAGTGGTTTGAAGAGGTTTGGGCTTTCCTTTCAGATAGCTGGGTTGGGTGGGGCAGGCTTAGTGGGGTCACTATTGAGACAAGCTTAGTATCCATACAAGCAAAAGTAGCCCAGGGTCTGGCTCCCAGATTCCCCACAATGGCTCTCACTTCAGGCACGGACTGTCACACTCACCCTGCAGAAGCCACACCACCTGCAGAACCAAACTGAACAGGGATTCTCCTTGCTTCCAAGAATTCTAATTCAGCCTTTGCCAAAGCAAGTGGATGCCTTTCCTTGGGAGATGCCTTGGTTGGCCATAGTTGTGGGCATGTGGCACCTATCCTGGCAAGCTGGCACAGGCTCAGAAGACCCTGGTCTTGTGGTACTGCACTTTAGGCTGATTCTGTGGGAAGCTCATCCTTTTCATCAAGAATCTAAAATCATCACCTTGGCATCTATGGCAGCTTCCAAAACTGTCTCCAACGAGGAAATGAGAGTTGGACGTCCTGAGAGAGGTATGAAAGGCTCGGTTACGGGCACTTAGTTTTTGCCTCCAACCCTCAAAGCTTTACATAACTGTTTTGAAATGCAAAGTCCAGTTCAAGGCAAGCCAAATGCTGTCAACAAGAGGCTCTTGCCTCTAGAAGCAAATAAAGTCACTGTTTGAAGAATCTGTGCCACTATTCCTTTGCAGATCAATACAAACAGAGGCAGGGCCTGTTTTAAGTAGAATCTTGTAGAGATTTAAATTGTAGAAATATTGGATAAACTGTAGGTTAGAGTATGCCAGGATTGGTTCGGAAGATTTCATCAATTTTCTAGTCATGATCAAACAAACCTGTCTCAGAAAATGCTTGACTTCCTGCATAAATGAAAAGCAGAATGTTTGAATGAAGACTAGTTCAGGTTATTTTTAGCCTCAGGAACAATTAATAGCTTCAGTTCAAATAATATCAAGTAGAAAGTATTTGTGTTTTATGACAAAGGTTAAATTCCAAAGTTAATTGTGAAGAGTGACTTAGATTTTGAACACACATTCCCTTTCTGTATGCTTATGGGAAAGTCTGTCTCTATTGTCAACTTATTTTTATAAGTTCTTATTGTAGAGACTGTTACCTGAA